TTATCCAGCAAGTTAATATATATAGAAAAGTTACATTATTAGAACAAAAGTTTACTATATGCTGTGTCAAAAAAGTAGAAGATGGTTTGCTGACAGTAGTCCCCTAATGCTCTTAAGAATAGAGGAAGGCTTATCTATCTTCCTGAATTTTTAATAAAATGCGACAAAAGAGTTAACAAACTTAAGGTTAACTGCATTCAAGTTAAGAAAATCCTAACTAGAACTTACATAAACTGCTGAGGCACTTCACTCAGTAATACCCAGAATACTTGGATAATCAGATAATTGTGAATTGCTCATATTTTGTACAGTGATGTGTTTTAGTTAAGTATTATTTTTCCATTTATTAATGCAAAATGCTTAGAATAAACAATGGCCATCAGTGTTCAATAAATATTAGCTTCTTAGTATGTGTAAAGTGAAACATGAACATTGCCATGCATGACTGTTATTCAGACTTTTTTTCAAAGAGGTTTTCTGTTCATTTTAAGGTTTCTGCCTAGCCCCTCTCCCCTCCCCCCATGTTGCTTACAGAAGCTTTTCTCAGACTGTTTCCTAATTTTGGCTTGGACACTTTTCATCTTAGTCAAGGTTTATTAGGAATACTACCATTGGTTAGTGTCAAGGTTGTATGGAGGAGAGATGGTATTATTAATTGATTCAGTTAGAGAGTATATTCATGATCTTTAAACTCTTGTGCTTTGATGAAAATAAAAGCTTTTTTCCTATTTGATCTCCTAGGTCTAGACTGCTAGACTGTTAAAAAAAACAGACTTTTCTTTGGCCGGGGGGAGGGGGGCATAGCAATAACTTAAACATTAATAACTCCCAGTTGTCTTTGGCTATATTACAAATTTATTTTATTTAGGATATTATTTTTCAGTTTTCAAAGAAAATTGGTTTGGTATATGGGGCTTTCACTTTTAATTGATTTCTAATCTTAGTACATTAATAATAAAGAATAATATCTATGATAAAAATTCTTTGCAATGTGTTGATATTTTCTTTGTGTTCTAAAGCAGAGAAAAGGGAAAACAACAACACTCACCAAAACATTTCCTTAGAGGGACACATAATACTTTAGCTTTTTCAGGGAAGAGGCAAAATTGAGGTTTTTATGTAGATATTTATAAAATCATTAAAAATGCAACCGTTAGAAATGTAAAAACCATTCTTAGTTCATGGATTGTAATTAAAATAGGCACTGGCCTATTTGTCCAATGAACCTTAGTTTGTTAGCGTCTTCTGGCTCAGAGCATGGTCATTTTTTGTGACTGCTCTGTGTTTGTTTGAATAAAATAGGTATTATCTATATATATGGTAATGGTATGTCTATTAAGCTTTTTAATTGTGTTGTATATATCTTATTTATTTTTACTAAATTATTGTCTTTGATCTGTGAGTTTCTGAGAATCATTTATTTCCTGTGGTAATTATGGATTTTTAAATTATCTTTTTATTTATTATTATTTATTTGTTTCTTAATTTATCTTTTATTCTTGTTCAAGTACAGTTGTCTCCATTTTCCTGCCACCACTTTCCTCTGTCCCATCCACCCCCACCTCCCACCCTCAATCCTTCCCTACTTTAACTTTGTCCTTGGGTCCTTTATACATGTTTCTTGACTTGACCCTTCCGCTTCTTTTTCTCTGTTACCTTCCTCGCTCCTCACCTTTGGTTACTGTCGGTTTGTTTTTTATTTGAATGTTGCTGGTTATATTTTGCTTGCTTGTTTTTAATTAGGTTCCACTTACAGGTGAGATCATATGGTATTTGTCTTTCCCTGCCTGGCTTATTTAGCTTAGCATAATGCTCTCCAGTTCCATCCATGCTGTCATGAAGGATAGTAGCTCTCTCTGCTGCTTAGTATTCCATTGTGTAAATATACCATAGTTTTCTGATCCACTCATTTACTGTTGGGCACTTAGGTTGCTTCCAGTACTTGGCTATTGTAAATTATGCTGCTATGAATATTGGGGTGCATAGGTTCTTTTGAATTGGTGTTTCAGGATTCTTAGGGTATAATCCCAGCAGTGGAATTGCTGGGTCAAAAGGCAGTTCCATTTTTAGTTTTGTGAGGAAATTCCAAACTGTTTTACACCGTATGCACCAGTCTTCATCCCCACTAAGAGTGCAGTAGGGTTCCCTTTTCTCCACAACCTCACCAGTACTTGTTTGAATTTTTCTTTTAGTGTCTTCAGGCTATTTTATTAGAACAGCAATGTGTCTTTATCTGCTGTTTCGCTTTCCTGAGTTTATTACCTGTAGTCAATTGTGATTAAAAAAATATTAAGTGAAAAATTCCAGATATGTCAAGAGAGAAGAACCGCATTCACATAATTTTTATTATAATCTATTATAATTATTTTTGTAATTTTATTATTTTTTAACAACTATTTTATTATTAGTTGTTAAGCTCTTATGTGCGTAATTTATAAATTAAACTTTATCACAGGTAGCTATGTATTGGGAAAGAATAGTGTACAGTACCGGGCAAAAGTAGGCTGACAGTTATGAGTATTTGGAACACAGAGTTTATTCTTATATTATTTATTAATTATTGTATTATTTATTATTATTATTAACCTACTTTTGCCTACCACTGTATATAGGGTTCAATGTAACCTGTGGTTTCAGGCATCGACTGTGAGTCTTAGAACATTTTTCCTGTAGATAAGGGAGGACTATTGTATGTATTATGGTAAATTTATGTTTACTCTATACATTTGTGTATAAATTACATAAATTTTTATGATTGGTACATCTTGGTAGATTGGAAATGTTCTCCATATACTTGATTTTTTTTTTTTTTTTTGTAGTAGAGAAACAGTCTGGTTGGGTTGAGGCTCCAAGTTCAAATTAGCTACCTTCAGATTGCGGTTTTAACATCAGTTCAAAGCATTTGCCATACTCTTCACCATCCAGAAGCTAGTTTAGATAATGAATAGTGGTCTTAGCTTGTTTCTGAGTGTTTGGTATGCTACTTAGAATCAGATCTAAGCAAGTGCTGCTCGAAATGAACCTAGAAATTTACATAGAATTTTCTGGCATCACTTTCCTGAGCTACCGGTGCTTTGTGGTCTGCCTGGTGTTATCTATATCCCTGAGCTCCTTTTTTTGAAAAAAGCTCCTTCACCTTGAAAGCTCATTTTTAAAAAAAAATCCTCTCCCAGGATATGTTTATTGATTTTAGAGAGAGAGGAAGGGAGAGAGAGAAAGAAACATTGATTGGTTGCCTCTCTGTGTGCCTCATCTGGTGACAGAACCTACAGCTTAGGTATGTGCCCTGACTGGGAATAGAACTTGTGACCTTTTGGTGTACCAAGTGATTCTCCAAACAACTGAGCTACCTGGCCAGTGTCTGAAAGCTGATGTTTCATATTTCCTATTCTGCTACAGAGTTCTCACAACTATACCCATGTCCAAGGCAAAGCAATGTGTGCTTCTGTGTCTCTCATTCTTTCCTGCTTTGCAGTGGGCAGAAAGATACAGATTTTTGGAAATGAGTCAAATTTTAAAGTCCCTCTTTTCTCAAATATATACTTGTATGTAGGCCTGTCCCTGGTTTTATATGTCAAGGCATTTCCAGCAGAAATGAACTTTTTACTGACATGAATCTTATAAAATTTTTCTTTAAAAAATTTTTTTAAGTTAGTGTTCTGAGAACATTTGTTATTCATTAGGTCATTGCCTCCCCTCTCAAGTAAGTTCTGAATGTCCATGTGACATCACCAATAAAAATGTAATTTATCCATGTTGGAAATTTGGCACTTACTCTTCATTGTCAATCAGTATTGCCTGATAACTTTTCTGTGTATACATTCCTAGGCCCCATCCCTAGAGATTTTGATTTTGTAGGTATACAGCACAATACATAAAGAAAATGACCTACATGTTTATGTCTCCTCTTTTAGCATTCTTGTTTTAATGCAAGATATTTTCATGGTTTGGGAGATTTCCTTGAGGGCAAATATGTCTGAGAAAGATTACAATGGTATTGCTCCTTGAAGGTTATTAACTCAGTGGGTTTCCCAAGGCAAGTAGGTACCATCTGAACAAACAAGGTCCAAATGAGTTGTACTGATTTGATTAGTGGCTCAGTTCTTCGTCATCACCCAGGTATTGATATATTCTTCACTGGTTCATCTTTCCTGTGGTTGTCTGTGAATCATTGAACCTGCCATTTCTTAGCTGGTTGTTCCCAAACCAGTTTGGCAGGGGATATGACTTAATATTGTCCTGTCATTTTCTTTATTGTGTTTAAGGATAAAAAGTTTAATTCTCTAAACATTTTTTTATTGAGGTGTAGCATATATACAGTAAACTGCTTAATGTGTACCAATCTTAAATATACAGCTCGATCTCTGCTATGTGTGCACTCTTGTAACCACCATATAGTCAAGACATAGATAGAACATTCTATCATCCTAGTAGGTGACTTAATGCTCCTTTCCCATCAGCAACCACTTCCCCGAGTCAACCACTGTTTTTCTGATTTCTAACACCATAAATTAGTTTTGCCTGTTCTTAGACTTCATATAAGATGCAAAATATATACTCATGTGTCTGGAATTTTTAATCAAATGATTTTTGTGTCCAGGCCTTGGCATTAAGTAATATTACTTAATATTACTGTTTCTGTCTCCTTAATGCTCCAAACACTGCAGCTAAACCAAAGCAGATTTAATGACTTTTATTTCACATTTTTTACAGGTGAATCTTAAAATTCTTTAGAAAATGTCTCATATTTCTTTTCCCACTCAAAGTTTCATTGGCTTTCTGCTTCACCCACTCATATAGTATGTTATTTATTGCCACAAATTTTTTTTGCCCTAGTTCTATTTTTCCCTCTGCCACATTTGGATAGATGAAAAGGAGATTCCTAATATCTTATTTTTCTCTTTGCCATGCTAGCATTTGGTCTGGGGTGAATTCAGGTAGAGTTGAATGCCTGAGGTTATTGTATGAATCTCATATTTTCCTTCTGTTCTTTCTGACAGCATGATGGAAGTGGTTCATTGCATGATATCCAGCTATCATTGCCATCTAGTCCGGAACCAGAAGATGGTGATCAAATATGTAAGGTATGACTAAGTAGTCATGTTAAATGTTGCGGAATTCTTTTTATTACCAAAATTATAAAGCAGCAAGAATTAAAACATTTACTAATAAATGTTATGAAACCTTTAACTTTGCTGTCTTGAGTTTAGACAGGTTTACTTTTAACTGTTGCTACCTTATTAAGTTAAAGTGGTATCCCTATGGGGCTTTAATTTGAATTTGTTTTATCAGTTGGATCATCATTTGTCCCTGTATTACTACTGGAACAGGGTACTTTCTATTTTAAATATCATTAAATTTTTAAAATTCTTTTTTTATAATTGTGAATAATAGTTTTCAAAATAAGACTACCAATAAAAATTAAAATGGTTAGTAGGTACTTCTTATCTATCATATCATAGCATTGAAGAGCTATACTGAAAAAGATTAATTTATCTTTATGGCCCCTTTAAAAGATATAATTATGCAGGGACATTTTAGGAAAAAGGCAGAGACAAATGTATTTGAAAAAATTAATTAATTAATTAAAAAAATAATTTCCATTTTTAGGTCTATTTTTAGTTAATAAGAATTTTTCTTTTGCAACTTTCTTTTTCTATCCTCACCTGAAGATACGCTCATTTATTTTAGAGAGGGGGGAAGGGAGAAAGACGAGCAAGAAGGGACATGAATTGGTTGTGTTTTGTACGCATGCCCCAACCAGGGACTGAATGTGCATCCTAGGCATGTGCCCTGTCCAGGAATCGAACCCCTGACCTTTCAGTTTGTGAAATGACAGCCAACCAACAGAGCCATACCGATCATGGCTCTTTTGCAACTATTTCTGAAGCATATATTTATTTCTTAAGTACACACAAGTATTCTTAATTTATTTAAATCTTAATTTATAAAATTTTTTTGCTCTTACGTTTTATTTCCAGGGCATGTTAGTCAGTGTTTGCTAGTCATCTGTGTTAACAAACAACCTTGAAACACTGGCACTTTACAATAAGAAAAGTTCGTTTCTCACATGTTATTTTTTAATATGTTAGATACTGGCTGTAGATCAACTGAGATTCTGTTTCATATGTTTTCTTCACTCTGGAACTCAGGCTGAAGGATCAGTCCCTACCTGTCCTGGAACATAGTGTGTTTGTACCTGATGGAGAAGAGCATTGGTAGAATCATATTTGATTATGCTTGGATGTAGCATATGTTACTTTCACAACAAACCAAGTGACCAAGCCTGTTTTAAGTAGTCAGAGAAGCATAGTTTTCTCACAGGATGTGGAGTGACTTATTGGGAACAGGATTGTATATAAAACAATTAAAATCTAAAGAATATAAGAGAGTAGTCACATCTGGTTATCTAATTATGGCTTTTCAACATGTGACCTACCTGCCTTTGCACACATTTCTTCTCATCGCTACGCTTCCATCATATTGTGAATATAATAATATTCTAAATCATCGAGTCTGCAACAGAATTTTTTTCTTAAAAAAAAAAAAGACTTGTAGCCCTGACTGTTGAGGCTCAATGGTTTAGGTGCTGGCCTGTGAATTGAAAGGTCAGTAGTTCAATTCCCAGTCAGGGTACATGCATGGGTTGCGGGCCAGGTCCCCAGTTGGGGGCATGTGAGAGACAACTGATTGATATATCTTGCATGTTTGTCTCCCTCTCTTTCTCACTGCTTTCCCCTCTCTCTAAAAGTAAATAAATAAAATCTTAAAAAAAAGAGGAAAAGACTTTTACATGCATACAAGTTGAGAACAATTGATTTATATGATTCTTGCAAAGCTGACATTTTTCCCCTGAATTCTTTTTTGTGAAAAGTTTTTTACATGTAAAGAAATTCTTTTTAAAGAAAAAGAAATTTAATTCCAACTTTTTTACTCCAGTATCTTCATTTTTTTCCCACTCTTTCTTTATTTGTCTAAATAATATTACATGATAGACATATTGTTACACAGTATGTCTCGCTTACTTCTTTTTTAATGTAAGATGCAATAGCGAGAGTCTCTCTCCAGTACACTAGACACTCTTTTACTTCCATCAGCAGATCCCCAGGTGTGTTTCCATCTCATCCAAAATGTTTTAGCAGTTCAATTTCAAATAATGCAAATACAGTGACTTGTATCATTACAAACTTAAAGTTTAAAATCTCCACTGGACCTGCCATCGCTTTTTCTCTCCGGACAACTCCCTCTCCCATCCCCCTGATGAATAAGCCCAGACAAACTCTCCTCAAGCCCCTTCCTCAGCCACTCTTCTCAACTTCTTGAGGTAGTGTTGTGTTCATCAAGAAAGATCTGCTACTTGCCATTCTGCCTTCTGACTTACCTGTAGCTATTGTCATTCTTATTCACTTTGTTCCAGCTACAGAGGAAAAGTGGCCACAATGCTGTGTAAGACCACCCATTCTTCTTGTGTTCTTGACTCTCTCTTCTACTGCTTAATTTACTTTCTCTTCATCCTCAGTTTATAAATTTCTGTATCTTTTCTGTCTTAAATTCAGTAAATCAAAAATAAACTTTCCCTTGACTCCCCTTAAGACCCTTTCCAGTAAATGTGGAAACATGGAAAAATGAAAATAGCAACTGATTTTAATGTTGTAGACATTTGGTGTGGGCTTTGACTTAAAAGCTTTTATCCCTTGGTTTTTGTATCACTTCTTTCTGCAATCCCTTACACCTTTTTTTCTCCCATTTCATTTGTAGGTTCCTTCTCTTCTTTAGAACGTAGATTTATATATTTGACCCAGTTCCCTTTGAACCATTTTCGATAATGATTTCACATATGAAATACTTGATAACAGGTAAAGTCTTTCTTCAACACTTGGTAATCCAGTTGCCCACTGGATATTTCCACTGTATGTCCCATCCACAGATACCTTTAATAATATAGTAAAAATTCACAAATATTTATTTTGGGGCATTTATCTACCTCTTCCGTTATTCTTCAGTGCTTTTAGTGGCACAATCATTTAACATATCACCCAGTTCTTTTAGTGGCACAGTCATTTACCCTATCACCCAATCTGGAAAAAAAAAGGTGTCACTCTTGACTGTGCCTCTGTGCTGTTCTCTCACATGAATCACCAAAAGCTCCCAACTCAGATTCTTCTCCTCTGCCTTCTCCCCCTATTATCACTGTCATGGGTGTGGCTCCTAGTTACCTGGAGTGTTACGTCTTCATAAGAAGTTCCCTAGCCTAGTTTTGTTGTTATTGTCAAATATAGCTTCCAAACAACTGTCAAAGACATCTCAAGTGCAAATTCATCTGTCATTCATGGCTTAGGTCATACTTCATACTCATGGTCCTTTATGGTCTGGCCATTGCCTAGTTATTAACCACATTGCTCTCCATTACTTAGCATAACCTTTGTGTGACAGTGCCTCTGCTTATAGGTCTCCGAATATGCTGTGCTTGTCCTCCTCTCTGTTTTGTTAAAATACCTAGAATCTGTTACCCTAAAATCCAAAGCCTGCCATACTTCTGTAACTTTGGAAATTTTTACCCATGCTTTAGGACTCCCCTGGAGTTAACCCATTCCCTGTTGTATTCTCCTTTGCTTATCTTTATGTATAAATCCTTAAAAGTAGTACTGTATAAAAGAAGTACTATATACATGTTGCTTAGAATGTTATTACTTCCCTACATTGTAATTTGATTTCATTTTTCTATCCTTTATTCCATCAAAATAGTGGCAGAACCTAGCAGCGACAAAATAATTGCTATATAATATTCCATCAAGTTGCTACATTGTATTTCAATTCATTTTTTCCCTTATAGAACAAGTGTAAATAGTAAACCTTCAGATAACACGTTGGTGTAAGTTTTCTCATACTTAGGATCATTTCTTTGGCAGGGATTCCTAAGAGTGGGCTAATCAAGTATTTTTATGACTCCTGTATATAACCATACTTTGTCCAGAAAGGTCAGTTGTGGTGTCTTATAATGTACCATATTTTTTTACAATCTTGTTAATCACAGTATTTCTCCCCCAAATTTAATGCCTATAAAATAATACCTTTAATGCTTTATATTTCTTCAATAAGTTAAATAGCAGTTTGCCAATTATTTGTATATTTATAAGAACTAGATGTTTGTCTTTTGGGGCCTAGAAAATGATGTTATGTGTTCGAACAGGCTTTTAATATTCTTGAGATATAAACTCTTTGTTGTTTCCTTAGGTTTTCACTAACTTTTAACTTTGATGTTAATTGTATAGATGCTTTAAAATTTTATGTAATTAAATATATTTATCATTTTTACTAGTTTCATTTGCCACGTAGCATAAAACTATATCCTTCATGATCTGCAATCTGTCTTTTTTTTAGTCTTGATTTTTGAATTTTAAAAATGTCTAAATTCTTAAATTTTACCTGGAAATCTTTTTATATACATATATTAAATAGTCCTTTCCAATTGTAGTATACATAGCATCATTTAAAAAATCTTTTCTTATCCATTGTCTATTTGCCATGTTAAAGTCTTTACAAAATGACCCTGGCTGGTGTGGCTCCGTGGACTGAGTACCAACCTGTGAACCACAGGGTCGCAGGTTCGATTCCCACTCAGGGCACATGCCTGTGTTGTGGACCAGGTCCCCAGGAGGGAGCATGTGAGAGGCAACCACACATTTATGTTTCTCTCCCTCTCTTTCTACCTCCCTTCCCCTTTCTCTAAAAATAAATAAATAAAATGTTTTTTAAAAAAAGTCTTTACAAAATGTCTATTTCTGATCTGTTAAAAAGAATGCAGTTTTTTTTTGTTGTTGTTGTTGTTCCCAACATATCTGAAGGAGGTGGCATACTTTGCTTGGGAACACATTATAATTACTTCCTTACATATTTTCCTGTCTGGAAAGATGATAGTATTATTCACATATATATTCTAATTTACTTGCTTCCATTAATTTCTCAGTATATATTTCTGGGTAGTTGAATAGTAGTAAACAAAATAACTAAAGCGTAATTATACTTTATACTTGGAAATGTAGCTGGATTCCTGCTTAACTTGACAATAGATTTCTATTTAATATTACTAGGAATTTCTTATAGATTAAGTTGAGAGGGTATTTTCCCTTTGATTCAGGTAGTTCTCAGAAAAATGGCTACTGGAAAAATATCTTCCCTGTTACCCTTCAGGCATATTTATCTTTCTGCTGATTTCTGAACCAGCCATGAAATAACTGTTCCTTTAGTTACACTGTTCTCTTTGCTTGTTGTGCCCTTCAATGACAGGCCCCTTTACACATCCCTTGAAATTTAGCTGGAGTTACTGTTTTGTATGTAATTTGCTGTACTATATGACCTATGTCCCAGTTTCCTTATATGTAAAATGGTGATAACAATACCTACCTCAGGGTTGTAGTCAGGATCGAATGCTTTGATACCTAACAGTACTTAGTTCTTGGCACCTTGTTAAGTACTCAATGAATGTTAGCTATTGCTCCTATTATTGTTCATTGTTTACATGTCAAACTCCATTAGACTATGAATTCATAGAATATTAAAATGTGTTTGGGGATCTTTTTTAGGTTAATAGCTGGAATATTTAAGAATAATTTTTCTCTTGAATGAACAAATCATTCATTTCTCAGTCTTCATCATTGATTTAATGTTTCTCACTAGGGTGTTTTAAATGCAGTTCAATACTTTATGTTAAATTTTTTAATGTTTCAGAATGAAGATTTATTAAATGAAATAAAACAACTTAAAGAGGAAATAAAGAAGAAAGATGAAAAAATCCAACTATTAGAACATCAGCTTGTAAGTATCATAGTTTGTAAAGAAGACTTTTTAAACTCAGCAATGTGTATTTTTTATAAAACTATAGCCAGAATTGAAATTTGACTTTGGTTTTGGCTTTCAGAGTTGCATTATTTTGTCCATTTATTTTCAGCAGCCTATGTTTTGGGATTTTGCACTTGATCTTAGCCAAAAGGCCGAGAAGCGATTGGGGGTTTTGAAATTCACCAATTTTACAATCATTCATTTTATTCATAAAGGCTAACTGTCTCTTCTTTGTGTGTTTTAAAGAAATGAATACTGGTGAGTTGAAAACAGGGCATTTTTCTCTCTGATAGCAGAATGAAACTGGGTGTCTGACTTAGGTATCTGTACACCTTTCGGTTAGAGGAAATGTTTCTTCTCCATGGATGATGTTAAATAGAATTTTCATAATTTTATAGTGGTTACAATTTCAAATGTAGTACCATATGAAAACAATATGTACAGTGCTTTGAAGTTAAAGATAATTTAGGTTGTAATATAACAGGCCAGGATAGCAAGAACATAATGGTATAAAAGTACAAATAGGCTAAGGAAAATCTTTGTTAAAAGTCAAAAGCATATTACTGACAAGTAGTTTCTCCAAATTATGGAAAACACAAATATTTGCCAAATCTTACTCTTAATATGACAGTACATGGACACAGAAGGGGAATTATTTCCAGAATTGCACTTATCAAGATAGAATAAGTAATGTGCTTGTACTAAGATAAATGCTTTACATTATCTTTCGTGTTCTTTAGTCACCTCCCATATATTTTGAAAGTTAAATCTTACTATAGTGAACACCTGGAGACTCCAAGTTGACCCTTGAATTGAACAACAAGGGATTGAAACTTTGTGGGTCCACTTATATGCAGGTTTTTTTTTTTTTTTAGCAATAAACATGCATAGTATTGTAAATGTATATTCTCTTCCTTATTATTTTTAAAATAATATTTTCTGTAGCTTTATTGAAAAAATATAGTATATAATGCATATAACATATGTGTTAATTGACTATTATTTATGTTATCCTTAAGACTTCCGGTCAACAGTAGGCTATTAGTAAAGTTTTGGGAGAATCAAACATTATATGCAGGTTTTCAACTGTGCAGGGGTTGGCACAACTGAACTCCACATTGTTCAAGAGTCAACTATATATTGAATTTTGTTTCAATGACTTATCTCATTTCTTAGGAATGAGAAATATATCTGTACTCCAAGAAATGGAAAATATTTCAGTACTACAGAGATTTTTTGTATTAATTAGATTTTATTTGTATATGGAAACTGGAGTGATCTAGTTGCAATCAAAGTAAATTTTGAATATTTGTAATTATTTTTAAAGTAGAAACTTAAAATTTTAACTTGATACAATAATCCAGGATTTGTTACACAGATTTTTCTACAAGGAAATATATTTACCTCTATTGAGATTATTTAACAAATACAAGGGGGTACCCTTCAAAAACCAGAATTACCTTGTGGATGGTGGGTCCCTTGTAGTACAGTCTTCCCCTGCTAGGTGAGTGTTCTAAGAACCCACCTGTATCCGTGTAACAGCTGGCATTCCTGTGAGAGGCTGTGTTCGGCTTCAGTGAATTTTTTTTGAACACTCAACATGTTTGCCCATTTCATGACGGATGATTTATGAGAACATGTGCCCACACCACACTGAGTGTGCGACAGTTTTTGACCAAAAATGAAACAACACCCGTGCCCCACCCTCCTTGTTCACCATTCTTGCCCTGAGCGACTTCGTTTCCCTGAGGATGAAAAAAGTGCTCAAAGGGAAACATTTTGCCAGTGTAGAATAGATGAAACCAAAAATGGCAGAAGCACTAAAAGGCATCAAAATCAATGAGTTAAAAAACTGTTTTGAGCAATGAAAAGAACATCTCAATAGGTGTATTGCATCAAAAGAAGAGTACTTTGAAGGTGACTGAAGTTTAAACATATAAGAATAAATATACAATTTTTTATAAATAAATTTCGAGGGGGGGAGGTTTGGGTCCCCCTTCATAGTATGGTTATATTCCAAATTCACACTAAGGAGAATTTCTCATTATTAGTCTTTCCATTTTTTTTAGAAGATTTTCTTTATTTATTTTCAGAGAAAAGGGAAGTGAGGGATAGAAGCATTGATTGGTTGCCTCTCACACAACCCCCACTTGGGGACTTCTCCTGCAACCCAGGCATGTGCCCTAACCAGGAATTGATCAAACTGGCAACCTTTCAATTTGCAGGCTGGTGCTCATTCCACTCACTGAGCCACACCAGCCAGGGCAGTCTTTTCTTTTTTCTTTTTCTTCCTTCAAAAACTTCGTATATATTTGGAAGACCAAAGTTTACACAATAGATACATTACTTTATGTTGTATGGATGACTAAATGAGTATGCTTTGAGTGGAATTATAGTTAGAGAATTCATTTGTGAACTGAGATGCTAAGATATATCTTATCAAAGGGCAGAGTTCCTTCAAAGTATTCCAGTCCAATAAAGTCAGCACATCATTAAAGGAACTTAAAAGTACTAGACATGGGAAAAGACAGTCTTACTTGCAGGCTGGTGGTATTCAGTATCCAGTAGAATACAGTCAAAAATGAACTTAAAATATTGTGCTGCAGTTATTGTAATAACCCTAATAGTTTAGGGAAATACTTAAATTCTTGCAGTTATATTCTTTACATACTATATATTGTTATATATATTTTCCATTCGTATACATAGTACTGTATATATTTAGATGCATAAAATTACAGGTAGTGGTAAGAGATTGCCAAAGGTAATTTTGACTATTCAAAATTTTAGCCTTCTGGATGACTGGAGAACCCAATCTCTGAATAAGATGGAAGATTACCTGATAGATCTTGATGTCTGCCCCTCTTTTTTTAACCCCCTAAGAGAGACCCAAATTACTTTGTATATGTAGGTATGTATGAAGTATTAAACCAGTATATAAATTTGTGTTTTTGTTCAGGCAACTCGATGTAACTGTCACCAAAAACCTAAAGAGGAAAAAGGCACATATGCTGATAAATATACCCAAACACCCTGGAGAAGAATTCCTGTAAGTAGCATATATCCATAACCCTTTCTGTTGTCACTTAACTATTTTGATGTTTTGTTTCACCTATTTTTTTTTACTCTAGTCTTTAAAAATTTTGAATTTGCAGTGGTTGTTGATTTCTTCCAAGTAAGTCATTTTTTTCTTGTCTCTTAGGCATTTATGTGCTTTCTAAAGCTTTTTCTTGTGTGTCTTACATAAGTGAGTGTGCATTTAATAGCTTTTCTATTCTGCATATTGTAACTCATTTTATTTGAGCGTCTAGTCTCTTCTCACTGCCTATATTTATTTATAAGAGTAGTATTTCCCCGTACCCTTAAAGAAACAGGAGTCCAAAATGCAGACTTGCCTCTTTGGCAGCATATGACTCTGTGAAAATCTATCATGCCATATATTCTTTTATTTGTTGAAATTTTCAAATATATTTTATTATTATGATTACTCATATTTTTCAAATGTTGAGGCTGTTAGGAAGTATAAATACATTAGGATATAGACAGTAAAGATTATGTTTTAGACACAGTTAGGGAATGTTTTATTCTAAACAGTAGAAAATAACCATGTAGTCTGTCCTTTGTCGTTTTTCAAAAAGAATATATCTCAGAACATATTTAGTGCTAAAATACACTGACCATAATTTAATCTGAGTTTTTCTCAATTTAGTTCAGGTTGTGTCTGAGCCAGAGAATCATCATATGGCCATCAATTATCATTATCCTATTGTGTAGTGCTAAGTAATAGATAGTTCTTGTTTAGAGAGTGCCTAATAAGCCAGCCTTGACTCTTGTTCTGCCTTATTGTAGCAGTGGAATCCTAGTAACACAAATGAACGGGGAGCTATAATGGCTAATATAATCAACAATCCACTTTTTGAAACAGGTGTAGGACTTTAAAGTTTATAAAATACCTATTTCTTTTCATTCAATTAGCAACTTTTGTGTGCTCTTCAAAAATATAAATGCCAATAATTTATTCAGCAAAAATTTGGTGAGTCTCCTCCATCTCAGCAAGGCTTTGTGGAAGGAAATACACAGACAAGTAAGGGGATTCCTCCATTAATCAGTTTAATAAAGGAACTGGTGATATAAAGTTTAGTAAGTTCTATAAGGTTCAAAAGATTGGGAAAGTCTAGTTGGAAGAATCAAGAAGCATAGTGAAGAAGGTGACAGTAGTATTGAATCATAGACATAGAACGCAAAAAATGCCAGTAGATAGAGGTGATGGAAGATTTCTTTAAAGTCAGAGGATGTGGAAACTTAATCTGTTTGGAAACAATTGTAAAATGAAAGACCATGCTTCTTGTTTCTAAATTTAGTTTTGGGTTTTCCAAATTTCTCCAAGTATCTTGGCAGGGATGTTTGTGTCTCCTGACATGGTTACTAAGTAAATTGGTGGTTTCATTGCATGTGAACAGTTCTATTTTACCATCCTCCTGGGAGTCTTGGTAATATCTCTGGCTCCCTCAACTTCACTGTTTTGGAAACCGGCTATCATTTGTAAGCATGCTCAACAGTCAAAAATAAATGGTGTAGAACACACCAAGACATTCCTGAATATACTCCTGAATTAGCTTTACTATGACCCTGGGTAAACTGAAGATCAAATTTTCAGCCTAGCCCACTTAACAAACCCAGACTTTAGGATTCCTTATTATCTATTACTCTAGAAATCACCTGGCTGAATACCTTTGCTTTATAGGTAAGGTAACAAAAAAACAGGGAGGTTAAATGGCATTTTAAAGTTTCCATAATTAACCAGTAGCTGAACTAGTACTGTTAACTTCAGACTGCTGGCTTTTAGTCCAAGGCTCCTTTCCCCCGAAGCACACTGAAGAGCCTTGAAGGATAGAGAGAGGAAATGGGAGATATATTCTTGGTAAAAGAAACAATACAAATAAAGACAAAGAGGTGGGAAGATACAGTTGGGCAATAGTAAGTATATTATAGTATGATTTTGGCAGGAACACATATATGTTTAGAGAAATAGTTGAAGTTAGTGTTAAAGTTCATTTGAAGGTAGAATTTAAAATTTTATCCAGGAATTACTGGGAAAAACAGCTATATTTATTTAAACAAATAATTACATATATTTATTTAATTACTTAAATGTTAATTAAATGTTAATCTTAAATTTTTATTTTATTCTCTGATTTTATGTTCTTTGGACTTTGTTGGATTCATTTAAAATAAATTATTTTGGAAACCATTTATTATAATAACAAAAACTTTACTTTTTTATTTTAAAAAGTTACACCTGATTCTACATGTTCTTTTTTTTAGCAAGAACACAACATATTTAAACAAGATGTTGATAATGGGGATGCAGAGACACAGTGGGACTCATCTTTGACCACATCTAGTTTGTTAGGTGGTTATTTGGGGGATCAAAACATGTTACATTAAAAAAAAATTCCCCAAGTTTAGTGTAGGTAAATATGTTTTTTTTGGATCTCGTTAACCCTTTGGGGAGATTGAAAGTAAAAATTCGAGTACTTGTTCTTCATTATTCCCTATAATGGAACCTTTAAATGCCCTTCTTGAGATTCTCTCAGTTAGTTGAGGATTACAGAATCAATCTAAGAGATTTGTGAGGCTTAGTAAATATTTCCTGTGAACATTTCCTGGAACAGAAGGAAGAAATCTGGCTGCAGTGGAAGGCAGAGAAGGATAGTAGAGGAGAGAGTTACTGCCTATAATACTTCGTTAGCGACCATTTAAGATATGTAAAGAAACTTCTTAAAAAATAGACATCTCAGTCAGAATCTGTCAGAAGAAGGACAATGGCAGACCACCAACAGCAGCAGAGCAATTAAATTTGAATGTTGAGCCCAACAAATTGATATAAATTTTTTCAAAAGAAGTTTGGTATCACCTAAATGCTGCAAATAGATTTTTCAAAGTAGTGAACCAACAAGAAATAAACCAGAGAATAAAATAAGTCAGTAGAATAGGGGAAAGGAGGAAAAGCAGATACTAACTGTTGATTCACAGATATTTGTGTGCCTGCTCTATCCTGGGCACTGTCCTAATCTGAGAGTATGAACATGAAAAAGGTATATACAATCCCAGCACTCAGGATACTTACTCAAATGTGTCTAAAATGGTATTAAGCTCACTCTTTCCTACATCTGAAAAAGCTGTACCAAATCTCCCGAGAGACAAAAAGCTGCCCAGGTTTATGCTATGTGGTTTTAGCAGTCCATTATGATAAACCATAGAAAATATCTGTAGTATGTAAAATTTTATCCTGGGAGATAAAATGAAATGTTAAATGCAAGAAACAGTATAACTCAAAGATTTGTCTTAGAGCACTTTCTCCTTAGTTCTTTTTCTTTTATATCATGTGCCTTCCCGAATTAGAAGTGGGCAGCATTATTTGTTAATTATTATATGAGATTAATGTCCTGATTTTAATTAGATATGCCATTTTCTCCCAATGAGAGAGATGTCACATTACTATTCATATGTATTTCCAAAGGGAATTAAGGAATTTATTTCTTTGTCAAGGTCTTTTATTTATAGTCGCTATTAGTTATATTCAAAATATGCCACTAAAAGTATTTTAAGTGAATTATACACTTAATTATACACTTACTTGTATTTAAACAAGATTTATGATGTGGTCATACAATTATTTTTAAATTGTTTAATGTTTAGTCAATATGAGATATTGACCATTGAATATGGCCTGTGTTTCAATGAGTTCAGTGCTGACAGGTACCATCTATGTTGCTGAGACATTACATTCCATGCTCTGATTTCTCTTCAGGTCGCATAAATCTTTTGCCTTTTACATTCCACTGCATGTCTCTTACACTGATTTTATCAACAATAATACTGTGACTTTCATGGCTGGATCTAAAACCAATAACTGAGAAATGGAATTGTTTTTCAAGGCTAGGAACAAATTACATATGTCTATTATAGCAGCAATTGATTTATCTTGTCATAAATTTTAGGGTATCTAAATCTGTGTCCTCCATTACAAAATACTAGAATGATTGAGAAGGCATTTTTGAAATCACTGAAAGAAGCAGTTTGTCTGCAGTGCAGTTAGAAAACAAAGGATAGCCCCTAAGTTTTCTACTACTAGGATTCCCTTCATTTATGTAATATAATGTACAGTTTAATTTACTGATTTGTACATTAGAGTGCAGGCAGGACATAGAGAGATTTTACAGTTAGGATTTAATGTTAGATAGCAGTCAGGACATGGAGAAGCATCATGATCAAATCAGTTTCAGAAGAAATCAGTCAGCTTTCCTAAGGTAGTAAAAGAGGTAAAAGAAGTTGCTCCTCTTTTAGTCTGTGCTAGCTGAGTGATAATTTTATTGTGACTTTATTTGCTGGAACATTCTAACTTTTTCTTAGGTAATACAAAAACATTTCTACAGGTGTTTTAAAAATTGCTATTTTTTAAATGTCAAATGTAACTAAAGTTTTCTTTTTGCCCCTGGAGAATGTGTCTTTAGTGGTATGCTCTGAAACTGCCAAAAAGTTACATTACTATTCCTTATATAACAGAAAATAATACTATTTCTCTTACTCAGTCCTAAAATTTCTAAACAAATATAGCTGTCTTGATCATTTGGAGCAGTGACATATCAATGACCTTCAGCAAAGCCCACCTATGAAACAAGTTGGATTATGTAGGGCCAGGGAGAATGCACAGTGTGAGGAACCATCTCAAAAAAAGTATGTCAGAAAGAACCTTTTATAGTATCTGAGCTTTTCCTGGGTGACTGGAAGCAGGGGTTTGCTCAGATTAGATACTATCAGAAAGTGGAAAAGTTCAGTGTGTTTTGTAAATGTGAAAAAGGTACAGTGACCTTGTTTTTACTCTCTACTTACATAAAGCTATGAAGAGGTCTCATTTTGTTTCATGTTATTAAAGCCTCAGAGTAACTTTTGTATTCTGTGAGATCGTTTATGAGATCAGTTCTGGACACAAGGGGCTGCTTGTTATCTTTCTCAGAAGGAACCTACATTGCATGGATTAAATAA